GTCGGGGTCTGAGTTTATAACCAGCGTAGATCAGAGCGCCTATGCATGCCACGCGTACCGTTACACGAATCACACGTGTGGAAAGAGACGGCGGCGGTACTCTGTTGGTAAGAAGGTTATTCTTATAATTATGTTTCTTTTTTTATACAGCATTTATGTATGTATTAAAGAAATACTCAGCTAAGGAATTTACTTACTGGAGTAGTGGAGGAATGTCTTGTGGTTTGATTTTGCCCCAATGTTCCACAATGCCCGCGACGTGGCCGATACCAACAACGCCTACAATGCGACAAGGCTCACGGCCTGAAAGGAAATAACGCTTTAATCAATAATTTTTATTATGTTTTCGACTCTCATACTATACGTGCATAAGGTCGAAAATCCATTAAAGGACATATATGCCTAGTACTTTGTCCAAATAAAAAAGTTTACTTAATAGGTAATATACTGACAAAATTACTCACGAGGTTGTAAAGCGGCTACTTGCAAAGAATGGCAGAGATACATGTCTCTCTCGACGACAAACACTCTCTTCAGTGCTGGGAACTCTTCTGCCATCTCCTCCAACATGTCTTCTAACATTTTCTTCTGTTTACATTTTTCTACTTCTTCCAGACTGCAAAGTGCATATCAAAATATTACATAAAGAAGACGATAAAATATTTCTGTAATTATGTGACAAAAACGAATAATTTTGATTCTAAATTTGATGATTTTTTTACATATATATAACATCACAAGTTTTTACCAAATCACCAGCAGCAGTTGCTGCAACAAACTGCATTGGAATGTGTATATCATTTTCTTAATACCTACTAAATTTCAAATTTCAAAAATTCCAAATACCTATGTAAAAGAAGATAAAATTGTATTGTAAAATCCAACAAAATATCCCGAATTTACCAGATTTGCCAATTTTTGTGAATTCAGGATATTTGTGCAGCACTTATGCATGGAAAATAAGATGTTCCAAAATAAAATTTTTAACAATAACATTTTAATTATAATATATTCAAAGTAGCTGTAAACTCTCTTTAAAATGAATAACATCAAATGTTTTATTTTTGCAATTATGATAGTGATTGTTGAGACAGCTGAGGTATGTCTGTAATTAAATGTATCTATTGATAGTAGATAGATAATAACTTACCTGATAGTCTGGTTTGATGTGAGCAAATGCCAGATGAACCTTATTGTCTGCCCCCAAGACAGGGAAGCAATGGCCCGGTGCAGGGTAACATCTATCGCCCTGTCACCTAACTGTACTATGCAGCCAGGAACTTTCTTAGCCTGGAATAAATTTAAAATTATTTCTGATGCATTTACACAGGATTTATTATTTAAGGCAAGGCTATATAATTTTTTATAATCCAAAACAAATGAATTACTGTAATGTATATAAAAATCCAAACTAATATTATAAATGCGAAAGTAACTCTATCTGTCTGTCTTTTCTTCACGCCTAATCTACTAAAACAATTTCTGTGAATTTTGATACAGACAAAGTTTGAAACTCGAGAAAGGACATAGAATAGTTTTTTTCCCACGCGAACGGAGTCGCTGGCAAAAGCTAGTATAAATTATAATTTAGTAAATAAAGATCAAGTACATATATGTTAATTAAAATCGTGCAGTGTGTCTGTTGTGATGAAATATAATTTAAGTTTTATAGCAAATATCATGTAAGTAGTAGTCCAAGTCTTAGTTAAAATGGGTACCTCAGCCATAGCACGCCTAAATTCTCCACCGGGAGCCATACCCAACTCCCTAGTAATGTGTGCGGACATGTTTAACAGCAGTATGTACATAAGTCCGTTGAATACGCCATTCTGAGCCATTGTTGCTCTGTAACAATAAAAGATCAGCATAAAAAATACAGCTAAACAAACTGTTAAATCACTGAATTGTACATTTGAAATGGACAACAATAAGATGTCTCAATAGTAGTCATACAAAAATTATGGGTTCTATTTCTTTCTGTATTCAACTATTATCTCTCTCTCTCTCTCTCTATTCAACTATTATCACTCTCAATTCAACAGTCATTGTTACTTTAATAGCACCTTACGCATGCTCGTGGTTTGATCTCCGGCTACCGTAAGCGTGGGTCTGTGGACGGCGAGTAAAGGAAGCTACGACGATTGATGCCCAACCAGAACCAGACCCGAGAGTCCGGCGCGTACCATTCCGCGCGCGCCTCAAAGAGCCAATAGACCACCACAGACGGGCTGATGTTCAGCCAGGGTTGCGCAATGAGCGCAATGAGGCTCCGCTACCTCGGCCCAGAGCCGAAAAAGGAATGGGGGGTTTTTAGTCAATAAGAGTCTGGCACTCCCTCCTTCGATGACGATTTGATGATTTTCCCTTCCCAAAAAAAGCCATTCTCGTGGTGAGAGCTTCGGCAGTTCCGCTCCGACAATTGAGCAAGAATAGAAACCTTATTGTTTTGATTTCCTCTTTAACCAAGTAGCACATTACAACCTACATTTATTGACATACCCCTTATCACCTCCCTATAACCCTGAATATTAATTGTAACATTATATACTATGCCGTATAACAGTTTACACTGTAATACCAACCTTATCTTTTTAATGTTAATGTTCTTAGCTTCCCTAAGTATGACTTCTTCATCTAATAACAAAATATTAGTTCTCTGTTCACATAACTCGACCATTACAATGTGTGGATTCACTTCTTGTATTACCTGTAATAAAATATTTATACAAATGGTAAAGTATTATGCTTAGACAATGATGTCCCTTATTATCTGGGATGTTTTTACTCAAAACATGCCCTTACCATTATTCATTATAATGGTAAGGTCGTTTTGAGTAATCCTAATTTTGTAATAGAACAAAACATTAGATAATATGAGGTAGCCAGGTGGCACAAAATGGGTTCAGATCTTCATGTGTCATCAAAAATTAAAATATAGTAATGATAATACTAATCTTCATATATGACTCCATAAAATATTAAGAAATAGCACATTAAAAGTAAATTCAAATTTCACCATATTGATCCATTGATCATATTCAATTATTTAAATAACAAATGTAGTATGATTTTTCACTCTTCCAACTCAGAATACAGTATTCTGAGTCTTCCAATAAGCTTTTAGGGAAGGCTTTAGTTTAATATTTAGGGAATATTTTAGGCCTGATATGTTTATGAAAAAGGTCATGATGGAAAAAGAAAAACTGGTACATACCCTGGATACATCCTCTTGGGATTGTATGCTGAAGTGTGCAGTACCCACTAAATACACTTTCCCACCATCAGGGGCATCCAGCACTGTCACTGTGCTTGGAAGACCATCATCCGTTGGCAATTCAGATATACCTGAAAATTTGATCAGACAGTATGAATATCAGCCAGAAAGTAAAAATAAAACTATTTTTATACTTCATTCTGGCGTTTGTTTTGATAAAAGCTGGTAAAAAGACAATTTTAAAGTCTGTGTACATTTGGCACTCCTTGGTATGGTGACTTATTTGAGAGCAATTCCACTAACAAATGTGCGGATGATACAATGAAAATGACCTACCATCTTCCATATCACACTCTGGATTAGAATCTACAATAATATGATCATCGGAAGGAGTTTCCTTCTTTTGGTCGGGCGTTGAAGTGGCATTAGGTTTATCTGAAACTGAAGTATGTCAAAAATAAGTACAATAACCATGTATGTTTATAATATATATATATAATATAATCTTATTGGATTATAATGGTCTAATCTTAATTATTATCTTCTTACTAGAAAACCATATTGTTTTATCTAAGAAATTTAAACATAGTTAAGCATAATGGAAATTGTGTTAGAAAATTCTTTAATAATATTAGTACTGACTAGTCAGTAGGTTAACCTAGGGGTGAATATATAATATGTGCATCAAATTGTTTTTTATGTAGCCAAAGTTTGTTCTTTACCGTTAACCCTTAACATGATACAAAAAGAACATTTATTACCTGACTGTTTAGGTATCATAGCTGCAAATGTATTTACTTGTGCATCTCCACTACCATCCTCTGCCTTTATGAACACTTTACACTCATTAACTAAGTCACTCTTTACTCCAGGTTGTGGTTTCCTCAATAATTGATCCTCTTCTAAATTTTGTGCCCCCAGTCTTTCATTATTTAATAGACGATCAGCAGCATCCATTTTATTATTGAGTTACTACAAATATAAATACAAATAATTAAGATTAAAAGGTGGCATGAATGCAATTGGACTATTTCCCTTATATTAATGAAATAAATGTTTATCCAAGAAAAATGTTACTGGTAGTTTTTCATCAGGTATTTTATAGCGTCAACAACGGAATATTACTTGTATGTCACCACATTTAAAATAATTAAACAGATAACGTGGTTTGCACCTATCAATTTATGCCAACTCAATTTTTTTTCAAGTGAAAGTACAAACACTGCTGTTTCTGTTTGCATATTTAATTAAATGACTTACCTTATAGGAAAAGTTCAAAACTGACGAAAGTCACGAAAATGGAAAACAATAGCTTGAATTTAATTAAATTGCTTTTTTTTATTTTGGTTTACTTAACATTTTCATTATTTTTCACATGCAATCGGGTTTAAAATTAAAAAAGTAACAAATAGGGTTACCTAGTTCAATATTTAAACTGACGTTCAATTATGTCAATTGATATAATCGACTAAATAGCAAAGGTGCGTAGTGACTAATAGTATATATTGAAAAATAGTAATGTTCGTTGAAATTATTCAAAATATCTGTGTTACTTTATATTTTAACTATTTGCGTTTATGTTAAAAAAAGGTCTCAACTTAAAGTGTTATCCAATAAATTTGCCATATTAAAAAATAATAGAGGAAATCAAAACGCATCACTACAATGCCATTGATTGAAAGTTACGTCATTTCAATTCAATCCATCCTATTCGAAATTCGATTTTCTCTCAGATTTGCGGGACACTACTTTGCAGGTTCTAAAACTTAGCAAAAAAGAACACAAAATGAGTGCCTGGAGACAAGCTGGACTTAAGTAAGTATTTGAATGTAATGGAATAAATATAACAATTCCGTAAATTGTTCATTGATGAATGAGAGACAATGAAGGTTATGTTATTCTAGTTACATAAACTACTCGAACATCGCTGCTAAGATCCTGCGGCGATCCTTGAAACCCGAGTTGCGCGCTGAAGCTCTGAAGCGTGACGATTCTAATGTCCGCATTACTCCATGGGCTAACGGCAAGCCAGCACGTAAGTATCCATATAGTCAAAACCTATGAATAAAATTGATCTGTTCATTAGACGGACAATTGGTTATAAATAGAAATTGCAATGATATTGTGTATTAAAATCTAAATTAAAGCCAAATAATAAAATATAGAAGATATAATTTGCCTAACTCAATTATTTTGTAGGTATGTAAAACCATTATGAATTAATTTTTCAGATGAAAAGGACTAAGTGGATGATCTAATTTAGGTTTGTCTTACCAAGCAACAAAGGTTTACAGTGTTTGTCCTTCTGATTCCATTCTAATTGGAATTGACCTAACATAAAACTAATCTATAGAATTTAGCTACTTAGTTTAGTTTTCGATTGCAAAAAATGTGTGTGAAGATGAAACTAACAAACAAAAATAGTGTTATTTGAATTAACTGCATTTAATATTGTTCTATTTGATGCATAATGAAACTGTTTTAGTTTTGTGTTTGTTTCCTTTTGTCATAGGTATAATACCTTGTGTGTAGACATCTTTAACTAATAAAAATTTCATGATTTTCAGATCTGAATGCTGCCGGCAAGTAGGCTAATGGGAATTCTTTATCAACATGCATGATTACCAGCAAGCAAACTAGTTTTATGTAAAACCTGTCAATAAATTATTGTTACTAAAAATATTTTTTATTTCTACTCATACATTTTCAATTTTGTAAACAGGATCATTATAAATTCATAACATGAAGACAAATGAGGAATATGATGTTAAAAGAAAACAAATATTATGTGTATAGTTTTTTTAATCTTGTAACTCTTGTTTTGATATTAGCTGTCTCCACTTTATCTAATAAACTTACGCCTAAAGGTGCTTCAGGTTGTACTTCCTTGAGACTGAAATCTGTCCTAATATCAATCTGTTTCCTCAGTTTTTCTACTCCATTCCAAGCAATCATAACACCATTATCTGTGCAAACATTATGAGGTGGGCGATAAGTTTGGTAACCCATTTCACTTCCAACATGTTCAATGGATTTAAAAATAAAGTTATTACAAGCAACTCCACCTGACACTACAATAACTCTGTTATCAGGGTCTGTCAATTTATATTTTTCACAATAAAGCATAGCTCTATGAGTTCTGTGAGCTATATGCTCTGCAACAGCGAGCTGAAATGCTGCACACAGGTCATGTACCTCCGGTATTAATTCATCACCCATTACATTATGTTTCTTTTCTCTTTCTTCAAGTTTTCTAATTAAAGAATCTTTAAGGCCACTGAAACTAAAGTTGCAATCTCTATGTTTTGCTAAAGGAAGAGGAAATTCAAACTGATTTAGGTTTACACACTTCTGTGCAGCCAACTCTATGGCTCTTCCTCCACATATTTTAGAATATTCAGGTATATTCCTCAATTTCATTCTTCTAGCAACTTTGTCAAATATTTCCCCCGGAGCATTGTCTAAGCTCTTTCCAAGTAACTCAAAATTATTTACATCTTTAACAAGTGCCAATAAACAATGACCACCAGATATAAGCAGGACTATATATGGAAACTGGAGCTTGTGGTACATTCTAGCAACTAAAGCATGTGCTTCCATATGATGAATAGGTATCAATGGTTTCTTGTGCATTTTACACAGGTACCTAGCATATTTTACTCCAACTTGTAAACTGAGAAGCAAGCCTGGCCTAGTAGTAACTGCAATGGCATCTATATCTTTGATGTCTTTTCCCGCATTTCGGAGGGCATCCGTTACAGCACTGTCTATATTATTTCTGTGTAACTCATGTGCTACAACAGGGTTCACGCCACCATATCTTGTATGTACAATAGTTTGTGAATACAAAGACTCTCCCAGTATGGAGCCTGCGGTATTTATAACTGCACAACCAGTATCGTCACAAGAAGTTTCTATCCCAAGAATAACAGAGTGTGAGGAATGCCTAACATTTTTATAGCTGTACGCCCGTACTGCTATCCTCTTTAAATATTGTGTACAACAAATCATTTGTAAGTTTTGTTAGAGAATTTTAAATACGCTATCCTGAAATAATTACGTAATCTTCGGAACTTATAAAATAAGTCTGTTTACAAAATATACGTAGGTGCTGTTTTTTAAAAAGTATTTCATATAAATTTTATTTTTTGTGCGCTATCAATGCGTTATAGTTGGTGTTTTTGTTCATTAATTGAAAGTAAAATCTTACAACATAAAACCAAGGAATACCACAAAGGGAATTAACAGATAGATAACAATGTAAAATGTAAACAAAACAAACTTTATGTTTTAGGTTAGAATACTGTCAAGTGATTTTTTTTGGAGTTTACAGCCTGCATACAAGTCTTTTAAGTCAAGTGTCAAGAAGCCCAGGTCGTGACATTTTTCAAATCAATTGACATTGATTGAATTATTGTTTCTGTTCATGTTTCTTGTTGTGATATCACGATCATAATCTAAAGTGATTACAGTAAACGAAAACTTGAAAGAGAATATATGCACTACGCTTTTTGGTAAACTCTACTATAAATAATAATTATTGTTACTCATTGGGACAACATTGTAACCATAGACAATAAATACTAAAATATCACTGATATCATTCGTTTAATCATTTTCCTGAAAAACCACTTCTTTCTTGAAGTTTTGAGCATGAAATCTTCAACTCATTCCCTAGTCACTTCAATAGTTCACATTCAAAGTTAGTTCATTCATGTTCATTTATATTCACTTCAATACTTCACTATCAAAAAATAGCGGTGTTCGAGTAGATTAGGCACGATTTTGTTCTTATTTGTTTTTAACCGTACTGTGTGGTGTGAACCTCTCCGGCAATATTAACAAAAAAAGAAGAAGGAATTGACATGGTAGGTGAATCAATAATTTAATCGGTGTGGATTGAATACAAAATGCCGCTTTCCAATTTATAATCAATCCGACTTATCCTGTCATTGCGACAATCAGAAGAATTTCTAAATTATTATTCTAAATTAATAAATTGTGTTGTACTATTGACTTAAAGAATAAAACCGGAATTATTAATTCTTTGTAACCGCAAAAATCATGTGCTCTCGAACCATGTGCTGATTGAAATACAAGCACGGTATATTTATGTATGAAGTGAATACTTAGTCCAAGGACTTGAGTTTATTTATTCACAAATTGACAATAATTCAACTGCTTCATTAATTAATCAAAGTGCGTATTTGTTGTATTGTATGGGTATGCTAGTTTACCATTGACATCTTCATTACATAATAAAAATTATTTGTTTTGTCCTCATTAGATGCAAACATCATGAGGCCCAATTGGAAACTTTGTATATAAAGAGTAGAAAAATAAAAATTTTTCAAAGTTAAAAAATATATAATACAAGCGATTATATTTATAATTCTGGTGCTGTGCTATTCATTTGGTTGACACATTTTAAATTTTAATGGTTTTCATTTATTTCATGAAATATTCTTATAGTAAATCTTTGTTCTAGATTTCATGACTGCAGGAATAAGGTGACACATTCAAGATGATAAACTTAGGAATTTTAAAGCAATCTACAATCGTCCATCTGTGTTTTGCTATATCTTACTTCACATCTGGCTTGATTCTGACCTTTATACAAGCTATTTTATACTTTGGACTCAGACCATTCAATAAATCTTTGTACAGAAAGATAAATTATTATCTGGCATACTCATTTTACAGTCGTAAGTATAAAATTTTATCTTTTATATTTTTTCTTATTAATTTTTTTTTAATTTCACTAACTAAAAATAAACAATTTCATTACTTTTCAAATAACGTATACAAGTATGTATGTAAACAATTTTGTATGCTCGAAACACATAAATATAGCTTGTAATATTTATGGGAATGTTTGAATTTAGATTAGAAAATAGTTATAGCTTTACATTTTGTAATTTTACATTTTGTTTCAGAATTAGTGTTTATGTCAGAATGGTGGTCAAATTCAAAGCTTACTATTTACATTAAAAAGGATGAATATGAAAAATATTATGGTAAAGAACATGGATATCTTATAATGAATCACAGTTATGAAATAGATTGGCTTATGGGATGGCATTTCTGCAACACTATAGGAGTTTTGGGAGTGAGTATATTTTTTTTATTTAATTTGTCTGAGTGCTTTTCCAGTTACAAATATTTGGAAATAACTGTGTTTATGTAGTTGGTCTAGCAACTATCATATTAGTAACAAGTTAGTGTTATTATTACGGAATACTTCTTGTTATGAATGGCATTAGTAAAGAAATTTGAAATTATCTGTCTTGGTTAAAAGAACAATAAAAGACACATGGAGAGTTAAAAGGAACGAAAAAACATATTTAAATAGTGACAAAAAATATACGAAAATTTTTCTAACTGCATTAGCATTTATAATTTTACAGCCTTAGCTGTTGACACATAAGTAAGCTTATTTCACGAAACATACTTATGTACAAAATAAATGAGCATTCCTCCTTCGGCTTGTTAATTAACATTTATTATTTACTGCCGATTGTTGATCTGTTGCAATATGAATGTTACGAAATACCTATGTATTTATTTTATCGAAGTTCGCTTTTGGAATTCATTAACGCTTTAGCTGATTTGCGGGCAAACATACATATATTCATTTTGCCCGACTTTATTATCGATTTTTTTAGATTAAATGATTGTCTTGATTTAAATTAATACAATGATAAAAAATATAGCTTACTAACTAGTCATAACAATATAATTACGTTACGCTTCCGAAAGCTAAAGGTAGGCTTTTCACGAGTTTTCACTACTTATGCATTAGTTCCATGCAAATTGATGGATGCATGCAATCATTTGCCATTCCCACATTGAGAACTACGATCTCTTGCTATTTACTAGAAAGTATCGTAAATAAAAGATAAAAAAAGAAAACCTTTGCCCTATCCCTGTATCCCGCCACAGAACCAATCAAGTCCAACATTCGCAATTGCTACCACAGCCGATTTTGATAAGAGGAGAATGGGCGTTTTGTCCGCACGGCTTATCAACTCCAGAATATGTAATTTGAAAGGTCACAGAGGTCATGATATTGCCTTTACAGGAAACCAACTCTTTTACTGGTTCAGAAATAAAGAAGGCACAAAACATCTCCTGAAGTATTCAAAATCTTATTTTACCCACAAACTTTGTATAGCTAACTGTCAAGTAGATTTTCAAGTAGGTATTATCTAGCTGCTCAAAAAATTTATTTGCTTTATAGAGTATGTAACACACTAGTGTGTAAAAAATAAAATAAAGACTACTTTATTTTATTTTTTGACATTCATCAAATCTCAAATCATTTAATCATTCCTTTCATACCTACCGACCAATATCTATTTCAGTACCTATTCAATAGAATTACAGAAACTGCGAATACTTACCAACAAGTATACGCCTTTCAAGAGTTAATAATAGACTAACCTTTTTTACACATTTTGTTAAGAATCACGTCAGTAACATTATTTCTAAATAGTGAGCCAAATCGACTTAAGTCGTCATTACTAAAAACACACTAATTAATAACCAAATTTCCAACAATTTTATCGCTTTTTATAAGATTGTTAATCACAGAACTAATACCTAAACTGGAACATAAATATTATATGCGTCAAAATCATTATCCGAAAGATCATGTAAATAAAATGTATAAAAATACATATAAATTAACTGAAGCCTCCTATTTAGAGCAAGGGACTCATAAACCACAGCGTAGCATAACTTTTAACATTTGTTTAACTTCCTCATTTATACACTTAGTCAAGAAACCTGTTGGTATAGATACATCATACAAACTCAAAACTTGACTGCAACAAGTATTAAATATCATTATGTGGTTTCCAAGGTCAATAATACGGTGCGTGATATATTTTGAAGGTGATATCGTGACCTTTTGTGATCCCATTATTTATACCTAAGGAATATTCTTTTTTGTGTCTCGTTTTAATGAGACACAAAGCACAAGCAATAATACAAGAATGCTAAAGAAGAATAAGCATCGAACTGAGTAACAATATTAGTCCCAAAAACCCAAATTCTTTGCTACGCGACTAAACATATTTCGCAGAAGGAAACGAGCCTAAAATATTTGAATAATAATAATAATTCATATAAAAGTTTGTATCCTGGTTCGAAGCTCGTTTGATTGTAATAATTATAGTATCTAAACACAAAGACGACACGAGCGATGAGTCGCCTGCGTCGCGACGTTCGCTGTCGGTCATCGCTCGATGGTCAGCAAGGTCCTCTAAACAAAGAAACGTTCATATCCATATTGATAACTGTATGGAGAATTTAATTAAATAAATTGTATAACATTGTTTATCTAAGCAGCTACAGGCAGAAATTGTGTCTGAAATAATGAGCATTACAAACAGTTGTGTACTGACTTGTGCACTTTAATTATATGTTATTCAGTTTATTGTTTCAAAAAATAAATGTCTTGTTACTCAGTTTTCCATTATAATCAAATTATTGCTTGATAATTAATTTAAATACATTAATAATTTGTAGGGATATTTTAATTTTATCGGTGTAAACATCGAATATTTATCAGTACAATAAATAAGTTAACAACCTATAAAGTCATGGCGGGTTTTTATTTGTTATATATTTTTGTGTTGAAATATTAAAAGTGAATTCTAATTTGATAGTATAAAATACACATATGCACAACTGATTCGGGAAAGAAACAATTACACACTACAGCTATTACTAGCAGTATTACAGTTACATAAAGTTTAATTTATTCGAAAATAAAAATAAAAAAATATTCATAAATTTATTATTCATATCGTCTTTATTAGTAGCTGAACTTTTCGTGTTTTATTTATTCGTTAACTTTATAAATAACGTCTTAGTCATATCAATAGAATGGTGACATAGATTAGGTTTGGAATTTGATCAGCTGATTGCTTACCTATATTGATTGATTCGAACATAATATTAAATACCAATTTACACTAAGGTTATTTGTTATGAATTTCATCACTAACACCAATGATTTTCTAAAGAATAGAACTCTCAGATAGCTCGGTCTTCAGGTTTCCTATCGTATTACAAGCAAGCTGGTTTTGCGGATACTTTCGCTTCGGCGCTCGCGCACTCCACCTAAGTTGTAGAAATAGCATAGATGACACTGACACTTACATTCCAGAACCCATCTAACCAAACTGTTCCTTATCAATTCTTCAACAAATGGGCTCCCCCTTTGGGCTATTTCGACAACTTGTTCTATATCAGTCTTCGTAATGTCAAGACTGGTATTGTTAGATGAAAAATAATGCACAATTTTCGTCTTAAATTCTTCATCTGAATTCCATTAATACACATTTATTTAAATAGTGTAAACACTGTTTCCAATTAACCAACAATAGCGACTTTTCTCAAGTAAATTGCGCACTGATTATTCAAATTGAAATCTTTGTTTCAGAATTGCAAGGCTTATGCGAAAAAATCCATCCAATACTTACCTCCGATCGGTTGGATGTGGAAATTCTCCGAATTTGTATTTCTAGAAAGGTCTTTTGAAAAAGATAAGGAGACTATAAAACACCAGATATCAGAATTATGTGACTATCCGGATCCCGTTTGGGTGAGTTAATCCTGAATAATAAAAGTGTACCTACTGATAAACTAGTACCTACCTAATCAAGTCAGTAATCTTTTTATTGTTACATAATTATTGAAAGTAAAGTAGAAGGATCTGTTTCATTAAATTACGTGTATTATTGATTCATTCATTTTCTAGTATATTTTTGTTTTTTTTTTTTTTTTTTGTAATCGAGTACAAACGTAATTTTTGACAAGGTTTGCATCATTTAGATATGCTATTAGATTTTCCTTCGTAAACGAGTTTGTCGCAGTTTACGATGTAAAGTAAACAGTGTGCGGGTTCTACTGGTTAATTATTTATACATACTTTAGCAGCGTTTGTATTATTTATTCTTTGCTATAGCTACGGTAACTTTAGTTATCTGTAATTGTGCACTTGTCGAGAAATAAGCAATGGAATTTCCCCAGAATTTTTCCTATCTACCTCGGTGGTAGAGGCTACGCTAGCGTAACTAATGAATAGGGAGTCAATGATTTGATTGTCTAGGTCGGGCAACTATTATTGGGTTTAAGTAAAGTCTAAGCAACAACATGAACGACTGATATTTAGTATGAGGCTCTCTCCCTGTTATAATATTGCTGGCAGAAAGCTGGTGTTACCATTTTAGACCACTCGGCACGCTCTATATACCATTTAACTTTGCCTAACCTAGTATAAGCAATTCCCATATTGATTTCTTAATTTCTTTCTAGCTCCTAATGACACCTGAAGGAACCCGATACACCAAGAAGAAGCATGAAGCATCATTAAACTTTGCCAAAGAAAAGAACTTGCCACTACTCAAACATCACTTGACACCTCGCACTAGAGGTTTCACAACTAGCTTACAGTTCTTCAGAGGCAAAATACCTGTTATTTATAACATACAATTAGCTTTCGAGAAGGATAGTAAGGTAAGATATTCGATAATCTATGCAACTAACTTTCATCATCATTAACCGGAGTACGTTAACTGCTAAACAAATATCTTCCTCTTAAGATGTCCGCCTCACTTAAGGCTGTATGGCGACATCGCGAGCGCTTACGATTGTTTGTCTACTTCTGCCATCCAGCGCGCCGTCAAGTCGAGTGGCCATTGCTTCCCGAGAAGTCGTCTCATCAACAGTCATCAACAGTTTGAAAATAAAATCTGACCTATTGTCACCCGAATACAAAGTAACCGCGTAGGGTGATATAAACCCGTACCTACGTTTCCATCTTGGCGACGCAGGCAAAACTGTCGCCAAATGAGTTAGGTACCGCTAAGTGAGTGGAATTCTTTGCCAGAGTCTGTGTTCCCCCAAAGGTATACCCTGTAGCCCCAAAGGTGTACCTTGCTTTTGGGTAGGCGTGCTCCATCGTTGTAGAAAAAAACCATTTGACCAAGAACGTATTTAGAAGATAGGCAGGTCTATTGCCCTTTGTGTGGCAGTTCGCGTTTTACCACATTACCGAAACCACAGAACCACGTTTGTAAGTTGAATCTGCTATTAAAATATCATAAATATAATTTGGTCCTAATAATGTTATGGTTAATAAAAAATGATTTATTATAATCGATAATATTTTTGACACATGCCAATTCTTAATTAAACTAACGTTTTCGCGGAAGCGTTTTCTTGCGTAAGGCTCACAAATTTAATAGAGAAACATAAACGTGTGACCTTCCAACGCAATTATGTGATTTGTTTATAGGTAAATTTTTACGAGAAGATTTCGTTAAAGTAATACATTCGACAGGTTAAATAGAGTTAAAAATGGCGGTTTTGTTATTATCACACAAAACAAACTGCGAAGATTTTATTTGCGAAGTACGTCAGTCTTGTACTTACGCATAAAGTACGATGTTTTGCTACTCCATCTACATCTTACATAGTAACTATAGGCTTCCATTGTCTTCTAGAAAATCTATGTCCAATAAAAAAGTTATAGGTGCTTACCAAGAATAGTAATTAGCTAGTTACGTAACTTGATTGGTTCCGATCAATGTTTAAATAATGTTTTGTCTACCACAGACTCATTAAGGACGTCTCAGTTTTACCACAGATAGTATTATTGTACTATTATCATGTGTATTGCGGCGTTATTGTTCAATTAAGATACTGTCAATTTACGATAAAGCCCTAATTAAAACTATAAATTTCAGGATTCTCGTGATATGTACTCGCCAATTTGATTACGGTAATCGATTAATAATTTATTGTTATATCAGTATTGATTAACACTAGAAAGACCAGAGTGGTCAAATGACCCCAATGAAATTTTTGATCAATCATATTATCAAAACCATAGCACTTAACTCATTGTCGTTTTATGACTTTTAATATTTCGTCATTGTTTACATTATTCTGACATGGGTATACCGATAGCAAGATAAATACTATTTAAAAAAATATCACCTACCTAGAGAGACCGCAGTGGTCATTTGACACCACAGCGTGCTTGCTAGTTACATTTCGTGGAATATACTTGTGTTATGGGTAGTTGAAATAAAATATTTTTTTCTTGTTTTATTCTTCAAAGACATATCATGGCTCGCCATAATAATATGATGCCTCATTATCGTTCCCTTTGCTCTTCAAAAATACTGGAAGTGTCGCAAAAATTACAGGACGATCAATCAGACTGTGAATCGACTGAAGAAGTGAGGCACACTTTGCATTTAGACTCAGAAAGTCAAGAAAGTGTTTACAACATTACACAAAATAGTGATTCTTTTAGGGATGGTGATCCCACTCATATTCCGATTCTGATAGTAAGTGTGTGTTATTTTGTATATTGATGTAAATAAAATAATATTTTTTTACATTGAGAGAAAAGGAAACATTTTATTAGCGTTTACTCCACTGTTTCAGATTCAGTAGCTCTCGACTTTACGTAGTGCAAAACCTAAGAAGAGGTCGAGGTCGAGGTCCCATATGTTTAGAAAGAAATGAAAGCTGTCGACAAAATCAAAGTTCAGGCGAGTGGGTCGTATTGCGACCAATGGAGCCACTGGTCGAAATGTAACTACTGATATTTTTTTCACCAGTGTAAATATGGCAATAAACCTAATTGTAACACAGGACAAGTGTTTTATAATAATATTTTGGATTTGACAGCAAATGATTCTTGGATTTTGTACAAAAAACTATCGAGAAAAAAATCAGTAGAAAAAAGTTGATTCTTGACTTGGCCAGGGAGTTAGTCGGCCAAGATTCCCACTCCCTGATGACACCATCTACTTCACAGCCTAATAATAGCATATCCGCTTGCAAAAATGCAGAAATAAAACCAATAAATCGTAAAAATCGTATAAATTCGTTGTAAAAAGCTTTTGTGTGGCTCTTGTAATGTAAACATTAAATGACAAAAATGTGCCTAATATTTTTATGATTTTATTACGTAATGTATGTTTAATTACTATTAAGTTCTTTTATTTACTATGAGATTTTAATCAATAAAACTTAAAACCATAATACATGAATAAAACATTATAACCCATGAATGGGTCATTTGACCCCACCTGGTCTTTATAGGTAGTTCAAAATGTCGGTCTTCCTAGTGTTAATGTCCAGATGTAGGCCAAATTTCAAAGTTGATATGGATGCACATTGAACTTAGATAATTACTGTAACTATAGGTATATATTCCTACTAATGTGATAAACGGAAAGTTTGTTATGAATGGATGAATTGATGGATAATTTTTTATTTAAAAGCTACCTACTGAAAGGAAATTATTGAAATTTCACATAGATTCAATTAATTGTCTGGAATAAAACGGAGGCTCTTTTTTACCCGGTTCTCCGGTTGATTCACTCACTGGCACAAGCTAAGTAGTGCGTTATTAATGATAGCCATAGATCCTACATCAATTTTGTTTATAAAATAAAGGTCAACAATCTACAGGTACTTGTCATCTCGTACTATGTGTGAAACCTTGGCCATTAAGTACACAGAGCCAACACCAGAGACGCACACAGTTATGCAATATTACTTCGCTATGATATGTTATCTGTTAATTAGGGAGAAAAATAAGTTTTGTACTTTACACATCCGTGACGGGATGACCGCTGATATAAGAATTAACAGTTCGATAAACTCATAATAATAAGTAACTCACGTGCTTAATAATTATAATGAAGATATCGCATTTGAACTAAGAAAGTAGGGATTTACCTATACTCTGTTTGAAAATTTGAAGTTATTACGAAGAGCAGGGCAAGGATCGGGGAGTTTTTAATCAGTAAGATTCTGACACTCCCTTTCGCCCCTACACAGGCCTGAGAAGTCATTATATAATTCTTCCACCTTAAAATTAAAGCCATCGTAAGATGTGTAACAGTAGGTACCGATAAACTTTTCGGATCTGCTAACCCCTAGTCACTTTTCAATCGCCAGAATCTAAGGGGAAGAGATTGTTCAACAGTAGATGTCTTCTGGTTGGAAATACTCTATTTGTTCTTCGTTCCACTTACAAGGAGATATATATAGATTATGCGTTAACCTCCAATTCATGATAGGTTCATTATTACTCTTCAATAATAGCTAGAATACTTGTAAAATATGATTTTTTTCACAAAGACCTATATTTTTTCCAGACTCCGCCTACTTTAACAAGTTTGTTGTACGGCAAGCCGGTCAATGCCCATTTGTACATCGAGCGGATACCGGTAGAGAATGTGCCTGAAGACGAAGGTGAAGCAGCGAAGTGGCTTCATGAACTCTTCGTTGTAAAGGTAAGTCAACAAATTACTTTGATCATTACGATTTTCATCACACAATTTTTTACATAAACTAGGAATAACATAAATTTTGGGTTGGCGCTTCCCTTCACGCAAGTGATGCCTGTGTTAGAAAACGCCACTCTTTCATATCTAAAATTAAAGTTATGTAAATTACTTAATAATGTGATAAATAATTCAGTAAAATATTTAGTAAGGTGATAAAAGTGACTAGGAGAAAACAGCCATAGTGTTTTCTTATATTTGAGAAAAGAATCATAATTTGCGTAAAATACTTTTAAATATGAACGAAAATAATTTGTAAAAACATGATTATAATACCCAATTTCCGTCCGCTTAACAAATTTACATAATTAACAAGGTTGGTATAATGCGCAGATAAGATACACCTACACGACTGCACTTATGTAGTGACGTAGTCAAATCGCAAAAACAGAATCCTTATTTAAAGCTTTGCCATGTCTGTCTATCAGGTTCGTTCAACTTGCGTAGGCGTATGTCACAGCCTATTTTTCTGCTACAAACTATAGTAACTATACTACTGTTGAACTTAGTAACTTGATGCTTTTTTATGAATGCATCTAATTAAATTATAATAAATGACATATCTTCAAAAACGATATTGAGGTTTCTAATATTATTTTTTCTAAACTGTATAGTTTGCCAGACATATCCAATGTGGTAAAATGTGCCACTCTATTATTTTTAAAATAAGACAACCTATAATAAACAAAAGGTAAACAATAATAAATAAAATATTGATCACTATCGATAGTATTTATTTAAGATTTGTATAGTTTCTTACATGTAGTTATATTTTGATAGGTAACCTAAATTCGCTTAGCGTAACCCTGCGCAATGCAGAAACTGTTAGTTAATCAGTCACGGAACTGATTTTTCACAAACGATAATAATTAGATTAGATATAACTCAAACTAGAGGACAGGTTTTAGATCAGATTAATGTTATGTTCGGAAATATCACAACGAAAATTTTACCTTGAAATTGTCTGACTAGCACTAGACATGTCAACATTTTTATTTGCCAAAAAATAAATATTCAAAAACTGTCTAAGCAATAGGCATTTAACGTAATTCATGTTTAAAATACTTAATTTGGGGATACAAGAAGAATAGGCTCGCACTGTGCATTACACAGTTGACGCAAGGTGCATCCGTGCTGCCGTTCAAGGTGCCACGAGTTTATTCCCGGCCGGAACAACTCATTGTCATCCACAAATTGTTTTACCGTTTCTGGATGTGATATCTAGGTATGCGAAATTGTACGTTTTTAAACGCAATCACGGCACTGGAGAAAATCGGAGCATAGGCCGACGTTTCTTTAAAAAGAAAAAAATAAAATTATACAGTGGAAAACAGGATTTTTAATAGTACAGCTGGCAACTCTAGCTAGTACCTTTGGTTGTTATAATACAGTCATACATATTTTTTGTCAGTTTGCTATCCACTTATCACAACGCCACTATGCGATAACGTGACCGTGGCCATAAACTCAAAGTACAGTTCTCCGAAATTGTTAAATTACTTTTTATATCAAGTTTCATATTGCGCATCTTTACGTACCTACATCTACAGGAAGATTTTAATTTTGTTTACCGATTTAAATGCACGGAAGGAGGTTATAAAGCCGGTGAATTACGGAAATGGATGTGGATAGTTTGCGCTTGTGCATCCTAACTACGATAATTATTTGAAGCCAATGTGCAAAATAAATCACTGTCAAAATTTGACTCATAAAGAGCAATTCTTAAATATCTTGTACAATTTGTGATTGTAAAAATTTCTTTTGTAGTTGATAACGAATAGAATCCAGTATTCTAGCTAGTGCATAATGCGAATGCGTCATCGCGGACCAAGATCTAATGTGCCACAAGTCAGTGGCCGATCCGGCCTTTAACTACCGTAATAAACCATTTCCGTAACGAGCTTCGCCATCTAGTTGCAAACTGTTTATTTTTCATCCGTAGATTTATATAAAACGTCTACAAATACATGCTTTTCCGAACACGATAACTGGAAAGATGGCAGCATTAAAATTGATTTTTGATAAATATGCAAAATTTTATAAGATTCACCTTGGATTTTTATGATTAATTTCCGCAACGTCACTTGTCTATTTCACGCTACCTGTATATGCAAATGTGGAACAGGAAGAAATTAAAACGTTGAGATATTTTTTGCACTTAAGTAATATTAATATCAACGATCCGATGTAACAAATATATTTCTCTGATAGAAATGTTGCGCAGTTATCTTGTCAGCTGTTCGTTATTTATTTAACTTATGCAGATGGAAGTTTTGATGACACCGACTTCGTTAGCTCAAACCAACCTTATTAAAAATTTAGGGTAACAGGTAGACATAAATATGTTGTACTATAAAAGCAGATAACTGGTCACGTCCTAACTGCAATAGATATCAGTGTAACAAAACCTCATTTACGTAACATATTACAGGTGTATGACATGGTAACTAATTAAGATACATTATATTTTAAGTGTGGGAGAGCCATGCTTCGGCACGAATGGGTCGGCTCGACCGGAGTGATACCACGGCCTCACAGAAAACCGGCGTGAAACAACCACAGCGTTGTGTTTCGCCGTGTGAGTGAGGTTACCGGAGGCACAATCCTTCCCCTCCCCCAATCCCTCCTCAATCCCTAAATCTCCAAATCCCTAATCCCTAAAAGGTTGGCAACGCACTCGTAACTCCTCCGTTGCGAGTGTCCATGGGCGGCGCTGATTGCTTACCATCAGGTAATCCGTCTGCTCGTTTGCCGACCTATTACATAAAAAAAAAAAAAAAAAAAAATATACGGTGAAGATCAGATAGTCCGTAAGCAATAGTTACATGGTTTTTATGGACAATGGCATAAAGTTCAATTTGCAATGATGTCTTGACAGTACCTAATGAATGATTACGAATTGTTTGCTGCATGCTTGTAGGTCTTTAAGACATGCACTAAAATAGCAGATATGATGGTTACATGCTATTTTTAATAAATAAAGGATTTTATAACTGATCGGTTCTTTTTGGGTAATATGGAACACTGGTAGCGCAAAATAACAAAAAAAATGCTTACACATAAAAAACTTCTAAGTATTACAATTACCGAAACAATTAGAAATGTTTTATTCTTTAGCAGTTTTTTAAATATGTGAAGAAATGTGTATACACTATACATATGTAATGAATTAAAATAATTTATTTTCAGGATAAAATGCAAGATTCATTTTTCAACACTGGAGATTTCTTCCTGGAGTCTGGTGTTGAACGAAGGGAGTCGTTTACAGTGCCCCCTCCTATATGGTCGCTGGTGAACGCCCTCGGCTGGGCCGTGGTCACACTCACCCCTATGCTCTATTACCTGCTTGGTTTACTGTTCAGCGGTAAACTTCTATATTTCTCTATAGCCTGCGCTATATTTGGAGCATGTAAGTAGATCAGATCTTCAAACTTTATTGTGTAGGTAGTTCATGTTTTTTTTATGATATAGGTCGGCAAATGAGCAGACGTATTACCTGATGGTCAGCAATCAACGCCGCCCGTGGACACCCGCAATACCAGAGGAGTTACGAGTGCGTTGCCAGCCTTTTACGGATATAGGTTTCGGATATTTAATGATTGTGTAGGGATGGGAGAAGGGGGATTCTTAATCATCGCAAATCATCATGAGTTGTAAGAATAGTCTAATGTTACAGCTGCATATTGCGTAGCCTTGTATTTGTATAAGTAGTAGACTACTGATCTTGTTTTATTTTAGTGTGATTAAAATGAGGTATATTTGTTTCAGTTTTCATTCTTCTTCAAAAATCTATTGGAATGTCTAAAATCAGCCAAGGATCTTCCTATGGAACAGAAAAGAAGTAATGTACCTGTTGCAGTATTTGTTCGTATACAACGTATTCTATACCTAATACTTGTTTACTATGGTTTAAATTAAAAAAGAAAAACAAACTAGATTGTTTAGTTACATATGTTGTATGTACCTTGTTTTGTTTATAACATGGCTAATGACTGGCTAAAAATAATATAAAATGACGAAATGAGATGCGTAGAGTGTATTTGTGTGTAAAAATGTTAAAGTTGTACTTTAATAAAGTATGAATAATTGTTTCAAATATTTTTAAAGCCTCATAAGGGAAGCTGCTAATTTTTGATACAAAAATATTGAAGACTTGTGCATTGTCTGATTTGTTACAAGTATTATTGTAACTGTTCAGTTTATTTATTGTTATTTTTTGTTACATAAATATTCTTTTGACACGTGTAGATACGATAAGCGTACGTCTCAATATGTTGTATTTTCCGCGCAATGCTCTTTATCTGTTATTATGTAAAGTGACTAATGTTTTAATTTATAACAACGATAAAATTAATCTGAGGAAGTAAAATAATGGATAAATTTAATGTCTAGATTACCTCAATATCTTGTTTCTAACCTTTAAACATGTTACTATCGGAATTGAACCGATTAAATTATTATTAATAAAACTATTAGGACTGAATTAAGCGAAAATTATAGTAGTGTTTTAAAATAGACCAAAATGTATGATTACAAACGAAGATGCGTTCTGTATTTTCTATTTTTATAAAAAATAATTTGGATGCAATTAAATTCTATTTCTCTTTTACAAAATCATGTTTTTAGAATAGTAAAAGTTTACGTGGTGCAATAATCTTATTAGTTGTTGGTTGGATAAAAAAATACAAAATCACATATAGGTACATAAATAAAATGAACATGATTACAATTTCGGATACATGTTCTAGATTCACTTGTATTGAATTAGCATTAATAATTAATTCATTCTTAATCTGTTAAGTGTAAAAAGGCCATTCAAAATCTGACATCGTATGGCAATGACGTCAAAGCTATTTTTACTCCCATTGCGCCAACATGATAAACAGTTGGAAATAAATGGCGTACTTATTTTTATTGATATAGCTGTCAAATTCGAAATAATTATAAATAACTATTACATGTTTATATAAAAGTACTTCATCTTTGTCCAACTCACAAACTAACATCAAAAGTAAACATTATTTAGGTAGTGAAATTAATTGAATATTTATGCACAAAATATGAATTGTACCAAGCACAAAATGTTGACTATTTAGATTATATGTGCAATTTTGTTTTGTTTCTAAGTGTGAAAGTGTATTAAGATTTATGTTTTTTTACTATTTTGTGTAATGCCTACAAGTTTTAAATATCTTACTAACTATAATGAAGCGTCAAGGGGAAGGGATGGATAAAATAGAAACACCAAGCATTTTAGAATTTCAGCAAATAATTTGTTTTGTATAAAATACATTGAATGTTTGAATTAGGGCGTAAACAAATACAGTAAGGGTTCCCATCGTGCTAACCTCATATTGAAAATGTGAAACACGCACAGAGTAAAATGTATGACGTGGTGAATGCGATCGGACCTTTACGTTTAACGAAACAACTGATTTGCGTTTTGCGTAATTAAAAACAATCACGCATGGCGTAATATCACAATATAATTGCGCCAAAAAATGTAACGAAATTACAAGAATGTAAACTAGCTCCACTAGTTCGTACTCAACGAATTTGAAAGGACTTTGAAATATTTTCCTTTTAATAGCATCGCTTAAATTAATATTACCTTGAATTAAATACACGTTATTGAAGTCAATAAGGCATGGTTTCTTATATTTTAGATACATTTATCAATTAAATTTAAATCCTACAGGTAATACCAATATTTTTGATATGTCTGATGTACTTTTGATTGGTAAACTTTACCTTAAACTAACAAGATACCTACTGTACCACTTTGGCACCTTGTAAAGGCGGTTATTATCATATTATATGTTTTTCAGTAAAGAGTAAAACTGCAACCTATACCACTTTGAAGAATATTTTATGCATTTATTAAGTATATTCAGGCAATTAATGTTATTGTTACTTTTTCTTTGAGGGTAAACTTTCACAAGCTTTTAAAAGTACGGTATTGTTGCTACAAACTGTAAAATTAGTAGGAAATAGCTTGTTAGAGTAAACTTTAGGTGGCATTCAATGTTGATGTGATAATAGACAGTAAAAATGACATGATTAAACTTTACAAGATGCATCTGTTGGTTTCAATTCTCAGTCCATTAATCCAATTTGAATGCTAAAACAGAGGCAGCTTCGCTTCTATTCTTTGTAGGTGTCTTATAGTTGTTTATTAGGAATCATTTTTAAATTTAATGTATGTAATTACTAACGCCGTTGTCGCTAATTTGCGACCTCGGCGGAAATGTTTGGCCAAGAATTGATCCTACACATGTGCGATTTTTCATGAAATTGTGATATGCCAAATTGACACGATAAATAGTTCTATGAATGTAGCACAAAACTGTGTAAATTATAATAGACTTGTATTTATGGTTGGTTATTTTCATTTCAATAGATAACATAGATGTTGTAACTTTGTACGTATGTTTATTATTATTAAACTTGTACTACTTATTTAATGCTTTCATTTTTACACTTATCAAGCCCAGACTTCGATCCTTCCGTCGCAAGTTATACTGATTTTTAATAGCCTTTTCATACAAACTTTAAAGCAAAACATCATGGAAACTACTTCACTGAGTTTATTAATTCTTTGAATCTCACGCTCTTAATATCTAGGTCTAGGTCTTAAGTACCTACATATTCAAAATAATATTTATTCAACAGTTATTCGCGATTTTGTTTGTATGGAAACATAGTTTCTTCCCGTCTCTCTAAGCTCCTTTTAGAAAATGCACTTAATGAGTTTGAGGCCATGATTTTTGCGTTTTAGTAAAATTTCATTAAAATCCGATCAGTAGTTTCTATGGTTTTGAACTTGGAAAGTTTGTACGGGGGAACACACACTGCATTTCCGCTCTTATTTTTTTTAAATTAAAAGACAAGTGTCTTTCTCGCCTCAGTGAATGCCAGCAAGATTAAACAGGTGATATATTTAATTTATTATAAATCTTCAGTCAGAATTATAAGTTGGGGTTTTATGTAGATTAATGAATGAAACAATGCTGGTCTTCACTTAATTTTATTACCTATACATTATTAAATTAATGTGGAATATCCATATTGCTTAATCTAAGAATAAAATCTAATAGATACATCTGTACTTTGACTTCTATTGGCTTATTGGTGACAAAGAAACCTGGCACTCCAGCTTTTTCTAAAGTCACTTGTTGGTCACTAACCTGAAAAAATAAAATAAAAGGATCCAATTCAGTATACATAGTACATATTATTACTAAGTATTAGAAAATAACACCATGGGAACTGCTAAGAAAAAAATATAGATTGAGTAGCACTGACATAATTTGATACATTACTATAATTGTCAAGCACAAGTTCAGGGTTTGAAGGTATTCACAAAGTGTAATAATTAATAAATAATTTCAACAAAGGTTGGTGCACTTATTAAATGTGAATACACATAACATATAGACTTTTTGCTACTTCATCTAATAAACTATTGATGATGGTATTTCTTGCTTCAATATAGATCTACATTTTGAAACAGACACCAAGGCTCTATTTTGGTTTCTTTTTATTGGTTTTAAAATATATGGTATTATAGTACCTAGTATAGTATAGTTTACTTGATATAAAAACTGACTTTTAGGACAACTCTATTTACAAAAATGCAATGTTCTTGTAGAAAACTATTCTTACTTTTTGATCTAATTGAAGAACTAGTTTCATATCTGTGTGTCTTAACTCTTCTTTATGCCTTGATGATAGTAATGTTTTCTGAAGCTCCTGCTGCTCCGGATTTGGTGTGGTGTTGATCATATTTTGTATTTCCACTGGAATTAAGGAATCTATTGATTATAAAATTCTTGATATTTTATCAGTACAGAAAAAGTAAAAGTAAAAGGATAAAGTGAAGAGATGTATTTTTTTAATATTCCATAATTTTGTTGTCTGTGTTTCATACTTACATGCATGTTTATTTATTATTTGTTGTCTTTGTTGAAACAAATGTTTTTCAGTGACATGCTGAATTTCCATAAGTCCTTTAACTATTTCAAACACTGTGTCGTTTAGAAGACAGTTCGCTAAACCAGAAAGCAGCTCAATGGGTACTCTCATTTGGTATTTCCTAAAATATAAAACAATGTATTGTGCTGAAAAATCTGGTCATAGAATCAAATAGGAGTAAGAGAGAGAGACTAGAAATAATCTTACGGTGGCAACTCCCGAGCCATATCCTGTAGCTGCTCAAGTAAAAAGTATAATTTCCTTTGTAATGCCTCTGGAGTGGGTTCATTGGCTTCCATGTTCCTAATTTTTTTCACAAGCAAAAATCACATATTGTGTCAGTAGTGATAATACTGCAATGCAACACCATATACTGTAGAACTTGATCTAATATTATATTTATTACAGAATAAATAGTTGTCATGGATTAAAAATAAATAAAAACACGAGATTGACCTTCACAACTTTTGTAGAATTGTTTTGACACATATGTCATTGTAAGCATTGAGATAGAAAATATATAGAGGCGCCGTGTTACTATAGAAGTATACATGCAAACAAATATGAGGGAAATATGAAACAAACTATGAAATATAATTTTTTCTCACTCTTTCTAAGGCAATAATTGTATTAGACAAAAGGGACAACAATATTTAAGTTGTTGCTTAACATGGAAACAAATAATTTTGACATTAGCAAAGTTGTAGGTAAGTGCCATGTCCGCCATCTTAAGCGCTCAGAGTACCTGAGTTTCATGGTAGTTGTGCTGTCAAACGGTTGTATGTTTTAAATTATTGCGGTTTTTCAGTAAATTACAAAGAACCATTTTTTTAAACTTCAAATATATATAGTGAAACAAAAAAACAATATGCCTGTGTGTTGTATTGTGCAGTGTGGTGCAAAAAAGAACGAAAATCAACCTCAATTGTCTTTGTATAGGTTAGTAAACAGTTTTCATCAAATATTACTTAGAATAATCCACATAGATAGAAAAAAATGTCACGGATACTTTAATCTATTGCCAAAGTATATATATTTACTTTTATTTCTGTCTGTGAGACAGTTTTAGTAAAAAATTGTTGTTTACAATAATATGTCAATATGGCATAGTTACGTACCATTTCACAAAAGTATCGATATAATCTCCCATTTAAAATTCAACATATATTTTATACTAAATAATCTATTTTAACAATGGATGTTTCCACACTTTTATGTAACGCTAAAGTAAGACGTCAGTATTTTGGTATTGGTTTTAGTTACATAAGTAGAAGTTCAAATTATCATGTTTTATAATTATACGGGCGCGATTGACAGAGCGGCGTTGGCGACGATCCCAGTGCGACCACCAAGCGTAATAATAAAAAGTGAGATACATACAATAAGATTGACTTCACTACATATCTATTTTGTGCTAACGTAGTTTCGAAGATATCATCGCTTAATCAGACGCGCCGAAATTGTGCGCGAGCACTTCACAAATACCCACAGGTTTTCCACATATATAAAGATAAACATTTAACAAACACTATCTTTTTCTATTTCACCATTCCATTAAACGCTGTTCATAAACACAGTCCTATTTTTTTAAAAGACGCTTTACGTAGTATTATATGAATACAAATTCGACTTGAGAAAATCATTAGCCTATCAAGAGACCAAGTTAACCCCGGGTTCCGGGCTCTAGCTAGGCCGACGGCAAAGTAGGAACAGGAGTTAATTTTAGTCAGTAACGGTCTGTCCCGAAAAAGGCCGGAGATAACATTAGATGATTTCCCATAAAAATACCGTTAATCAGCTGGCTAATCCCTAAAACTATACCTACGTAGAACTTTTACTCAAATTGTATCGATACTCGTTAAATACTTAGTTGGCACAACCCTAGCAACGGCAGCCATCTTATGCGACATTTTGGATTGTAGGTAGGCACCTTTTTTTCGTAGGTATTTCAAGTTTTCAACAATATTTCCTATGTCAATGATTGTTAAGTAACTATGACATTGACAAAGTATGATTAGAGTGGCTTTAGGAGCTCTTTTTTTTTTTTTTTTTTATCTTTATTTAAAAGAGCTTATTTGCAGTTACAAATATGACGCTCCGTATATAAAGCAAAAATAAATTGAAATACTTAAAAAGAAGAATTAAGGCAAAGATGATCTCCGCCTTAGACCCTCTTTAACTAAACTAATAAGTACTTTAGCTCTTTCACACAGTGGAGACGATAGAAAATTTATGTAAAAACCTATATTGTAACATTCTTTACCAAAAAATCGATGTCTTAACTCCTTATTCCGATCACACTCCGCTAAAATATGATGTACGTCTTCAACTTTACCGCAAACATAACATTTCGGAGAATCGTTTTTTCGCATTAGGAAGGCAAATTTATTCAGCGGAATGTGACCAGAACGTAGCCTAAACAACAGTACAATATCTTGTCTGTCTAGGTTAGATATTTCAAACCAAGGAGCTTTCCAAGGTTGTGATTGGACAATTTTATACCATATTCCCACATGTTTGGACCGTTCATCAAAGTATTCTTTCCAAAGTGAATAAGATTTTTGTTTAACAATGTAAGTGCAATCAGAATAACAAGGTAAAACATCCATACATATTCCGCTGTGAGACGCCTCTGTAGCCAATCCGTCAGCTATTTCATTCCCGTCGACACCAACATGTGAGGGTATCCATTGTAGAATGACTAATTTAGAAGAAGATAAAATGTCCATCATTAATTTGATAATCGTGAAAGCTATGGGGGTTCCTCTCAAGCCCGAAGTGCACCGAACCAAATGCTGAAGGGCACTTTTAGAGTCACAGAATATGACGAATTTATTACATGAAATTGACTGAATATATGAAAGGGCTTCTGATATGGCAATAAGTTCTGCGTACATTATCGAAATATTAGAGTTTATCTGGAGTTTTATAAAGTCTTTCGTTTGTATATCAAAGAAAGCTGCCCCAAGTGTATTTGATGTATTATTTTTCGAAGCATCTGTAAACATTTTATAAAAGTCCGCGTAATTTTCATTAATACTCAAATCACAGATTTCCTTTAAAATTAAGTGACTAAAAGAGCGTTTTGGCTTATTCACTGACTTAATATCACAAATGATATTTTCAGAAAGATCGATACTGGTAGTCCAAGTATCTAAAGAAAATATATCTAAAACTTGCGTACTTTGTACGCGAACATCCTTGAAGTAATCATATGCTTCAATTAGTAGCGGTTTTTTCCGTCTACCTGTGCAGGAATTTGCCCACAAATCTTGCAATTCCTGAATAGATTTATAAATAAATGAACCACCCCAAGATATAGTTTTGCAAAAATATTTGCCAGCTAAAAATGATCTTCTAACATGTAGAGGTTGTATACAAAGTTCGCTTTCCATAACATGAATAGGCGAAGATTTAATGAAACCCCCTATTACTCGCATACACTGATTTTGAATTTTATCTAATTTATTTAAATGAGCATTACAACTATTGCCGTATAAGAAGCAAGAATAATCAAAACGGCTTCTGACAAGGGAAATGTACAGACGTCTGAGATGTGTCGGATGAACACCCCAACCTGGACCAGACAGAACTTTAAATAAATTTATTAACTTTAACAATTTTTGTTGCAATTCATTAATATGTTTGGACCATCTTAGGCAACGATCTAACCACAATCCTAAATACTTAACATTATCAACAACATCTAAAGAAGTATCATTAATCTTAAGTTCAATAGGAACTTCATGTCTTTTTACATTTTTTCTAAATAAACAAACTTTACTTTTCTGTGGTGAAACCTCTAAACCAAGTTTCTCAAGAGACTTCGAAAAGTCTAAGAGAGCGCCTTGTAAAATATAAATAGAATTATTAATGTTTTTATCAGTAACAAATATTACATAATCATCTGCATATTGCGAAAAACACACCCTAGAATTTAACGATTTACAGACATCCATGGTAGCAATATTAAATAATAATGGAGACAAGGGATCACCTTGAGCCAGTCCAAGGCTAGTACGTCTACAAATATTAACATCATTAGTAACAACTTTTAAATATCTCTCACTAAGAAAATTCCATAAATACAAACAGATATTTGAACCTACCCCTAGTCTGTCTAAAGATAGTAATAATGTATAAATATCGACATTATTGTATGCATTATTAATGTCCAAAAAGCAACTTAAGGTAGTAAAACCTTTTAAAAAACCTGCTTGTATTTTTGAAATTAAATAGGCTAAATTATCCAAACAAGATTTAGACTTTCTAAAGCCAATAGTATATTCCGAGAACATTGCATTTTTTTCCAAATACCACTCTAATCGCTTATTAATAATTGAATGAAAAACTTTACATATACATGACATTAATGCTATAGGTCTCAGAGATGACACAGAATTGGGATCTCGTCCTGATTTCGCTATTGGAAAAATACGCGTATCTCGCCACTGAGCTGGAACAAAGCCACTATCGAAAAAATCATTATACAAACGTGTTAAAACTATTTTGCCATTTTGAGGCAAATTTTTAATCATAGAAAAGGAAATGTCATCGCAACCAGGAGCTGTATCAGATGATTTAATATTCTTTTCCATTTCCTGTACAGATATAGGGGTAGACAATTTAGTATTACTGGATTTAAATAAAGGTTGCCTGTTAACTACATAATCTGGAGTAAGGCTACCTAAAAGTGTTTTAACCCGGTTCTCTTCAACATAATATGTCTGATTAGTTTTGTGACACCCTTTTATCCAGCGCATTCGCTGCCACACCACACTTGCGGACGTTGCGTTATCTATACCTGAACAGAACTTTTGATATGCTTCCCGTTTAGCATTCTGAATATATTTTCTCGCCTCAGTGATTTTATTTTGAAGATTATCTAGGTTATTAGGAGTAGGATTACGCCTAAATGATGCTAAGGCAAGACGACGTTCTGCCACTGCTTTTGATATATTTGCACACCAATAAGGTTTGGGTATAAACCTATGACAAGGATTTGGATTTATTTTATAGTAAGGAATATAGCAATCAGCAGCTTTATTAATGACGTTCACGAATAAATCATATGATTGCTGCAGATTAGTACTCGAATACATAAATTGAGAAAAATCTTCCTGGAGCTGAGTCCTGTACAATGTCCAATCAGCTTTTTTAAAATTTCTTTTTTTAATAGAATGAAACAAGTTATTACTGACTGATGAAATCTTTACAATACAATGATCACTACCTAATGTTTCACTTGTAACACGCCATTCAAACTTTAAGGCTATGTCTGTTGAAACTATTGATAGGTCAGGAGATGAAGATTGCAAAATACCATTAACCAGTTTAATTCTAGTAGGATTTCCACTGTTCAAAGTAATAAGATTATAATCTATTAAAGCATCAAAAATTTGACTTCCTCTCAAGTCCGTTTTAGAAGACCAACTAGAGTGATGGCCGTTAAAATCACCGAGTATCAAGGATTTGGAAGCAAAATTACTGAATATATTTTCCCAATCCGTTTGTGTGGTGTGTACAGACGGAGGACAATATACAGAAACTATGTTTTGTAACATTTCACAATTAAAAACTTTGATATGTAAAAGCTCTATACCTGAATGAAGAGATGTCTGTGAACAAGCTAGGCTTTTAACAGAATTATGAACGAAAATTGCTACCCCTCCGTATCCATCTAATCTGTCTTTACGATATATTGTATATCCACTAGCCCGAACCTCCTGATCGCCGCGTAACCAGGTCTCACTTAAAGCTGCAATGTGAACTTTTTCTTGGCACAGTAATTGCTCCAAGGAAATCATTTTATTTTTTAAACTTTGGCAATTCCATTGTATTATATTCAACTTGTATTTATTCCTTCCCGCCATTATTACAGGAAAATAAATTTAACCAATTACTATTTAAAAAATAGTTTTTCATCTTAGATGTAAGCCACTGCAATATAAGCATAAATACATTTTTAATCTTTGTAGTAACATCTTCTTGGGTAAAAACGATATTGTATATTTCTGTTAATAGTCCTTCAAAAGTATTTTCATTCATCTTGTCCTTATAATTACGAGTTTTTGTTTTAGTGGATGTATCATTGTTATCAGTATCAGACGACCACACGCCCTCATTCTCAAAAGACATTTCCTTAACCTTTTGACTTTGTTTTTTGTTCTTCTTCTTTTTTTGTTGGAGCTTCTGTTTTGTATTCACCTGAATATTATCATCTTTACCGTCATTAACCAAAAGTTTTCCGTCTAACGGCTTAACTGAAACCCCTTTTACCGTAGATGCATATGATGAAACTGTGGCAGTTGAAGTTGATGTTTTACTATTGTTTTCCTCCTGTCCGGTCTTGTTTAAAGTCGATGTTTCCTGAGTAGATGGCGTGTATAACATAACAGCTTTCTTATAAGTGCAGTTTGATTCCACCATCAATCGTCTTAGTGATCTTTCTTTAATAAACATAGGACAGTGTTTACTTAAAGCAGTATGTTTTCCACGACAATTTATACATGAAAATGCATTAGTATCGCATTCTTCATGTGCAGCTCCACATTTGACACATGTCTTCTTTTTAGTACACATTTTTCGGAAATGGCCAAAACGCCAGCAATTCGAACATTGTGTAACGGGAAATACATATGGTTCGACTTGTGTTCGAACCCCATAAATGTAAATGAAAGTCGGTAACGAAGAACCCTTAAAACATATTCTGACGCTCTCACTGTTGGTCCATTCAGTGCTGTCAGGAACTTTCCGACTTAGTCTTTTGACAGATATTATTTCCACGTCACTGTCCAAGCTGCCTAGGATATCCTTATCAGGAAGATCTAATTCAACATTTTTAATTACACCATAAGATACCCCCACTTCCATGGTACGCTGCATTTTCCATCCAAAATCTATAAATGTCTTACAAGCAAAAAGCTCTCCCATACTACATTGGTCATCAAATTGTACATTTAGTTTAAAAGGGTTTATATATCGAACTCTAATTATATTACGTATATTGTTATCTTTCATCAATTTTGCAAATTTGAATTGTTTGGGTAGTACTTCTTTGGAAGAAATACTAGCCTCAAATCTTTCTCCGGGAATCGATAAATTATTAAGGCTGCTTGCATATCGTTTTCTTGGTCGGGATACAACTTGCCATTGGAATGTTTCATCTGAGTCATCGTATTGTCTTTTATTTTTGTTGTTTGGTATTTTATTTTGATATTCATTATCCTCTTTGCAGTAATCATGTTCGTCGAGTACGAGTGATAAATTATCACTCACCACCGACGACGCCATCTCTATCAATCTCTATTGTAGGATCGCCCGCCCCGAAAGCACCGCGATCAAACGCGAGCTCGCGGGCCAAATATGATACACACACAATAAACACTATACAATTATTGAGAACATATACTATTTAATCCCAAAAGATACGAATTTTAATTTAAAAATAATTATTTTAAGTTGGACAAAATTAATAATTATTTTCTTGTTGGTTGGTTACCATCAGGAGCTCTTATTAAACCGTAAAAAATGTTGTCTTTTATCATCACGATATGACTTAGGAGTAAAGTAAGTAGACCCTTTCTAGACTACCTTTTCTAGTCAACCCTTTTTCTAGATTGTGTCCGTTAAAAAATGTTTGAGTGGCAAACTTAGTAATGACAACAATTCTACAAAATCCAAAAAACCAAGTGACTATTCTTTTTCTATGGTCAATAACTTGGTAACACTTTTTTGACATTGACAATTAAGTTAAGTTTTCAATGAGAATTGTGTCAGAAACGGAATTAAACAGTGAAGTCTTTGTTTTTTTAGCTTAAAAAACGGGAAAAGTGAGATTAAATCAAAAATGAAAAGTTATTATTGGGTGGTACCTTTTCTACTGTTACATGTTAATCTATTAAAAGCGGATACATCGACTGACGAATCCCTGCATGCCGACGTATTGCTGTAAGCAATAAAATAATAAATAAACATTTTCTTTCGTAATTTGCTTTTACAAGAGACCTTGTTTTTTCCAGATTAAAAAGTGGAATAGGGTATATGATACCATTCCCTGAGAAATGTTCTGAGATTTTAAGTGATTTCGCTGATTATGCGTCTAATTTTACTAAATGTTCAATATTACATGCTAGACCCATAAGAATATGTAAAAACTGTATAGAACATTATACGAGCTTCCATAATAAGTATCAAGAATTATTGACAACTGTAGTGAATGGAACTTCTTGCAAGTCTGTGTTTATTTCCCGCGACAGATTGGATGCTATTTTGGAATATCATGATAATATAAAGAGTATTTGGGATAAAGGTCACTGTAATGGTATGTATTTGTAAACCTCTTTCACACACTAATCCAATGACTGTCAAGCTGAGAGATTACTTTTTTGGCAGATAAGTGGCTTGGTAGTATTTACACTATTTTGAATGTGAATTATGTTATTCTTTACCAACTAAGCACTGATGTAGTTTTTATATAAAAGTATAGTATGGTATAAAAAATCTTTCATATTTTTTATTTCAGCCTGCTATGACTGGAAAACTGGACAGCCAGTGTTGTCTAATGAAACAATCCATTTCAATGAACTATTTAATCAAACAATAGATTGTATCATGAAGTACATAGTTCCTTCTTCAAATGACAGTAAAATTGTTTGTGATAATTGCATGCAGTCTTACATCAAGCTAGACAATTACTATAAAACATTGAGTGCAGATGCTATCGGAGTTGACATTATTTGTATGGACATTGTAGACTCTGTAAGTTCTTTCAACATCATTTTTTATTGAAGGTTACAACTATTTTCCAAATTAAGTCCATTTTTTATCACCTTATATATTTTATACAATTAATTCTATACTTAAATGGTGTAGCGGCTATTCTAACACTGTAAAATAAGGTTAAGGAAAATATCAATTTTTTTCCCACTTTTAGATGAATACCACAAGGTCTATATGGAGCAAAACATTGAATTGCTGCAAAGTGAGAAAAACTCCAGAAGTAGTGTTTTTAGTCTCCACTGGAATCATTTCATTGCTACCAATACTATATTATTTGGTCCTGAGATACTGCAGTCCCATGAGAGATTTACCTAATGTTTTGAAGCGTAAGTGTGACTCAGAACAACTAACTGCTATTTAGATCAGGCTACACATTTTCAAAACTTGTTTTGATTAAATTTTTCTCTATATTTCAGAGTCAAGATTCAAGCAAAGCATTCTGCGTTCTCTTGGAAGAACCAATTGAATTAGGCTCAATAAAACTCATTGTAACAATTAACACCATATGTATTTACAAATTGACCAAAGAAATAAAACTATTTTTGATAAAATTGGGTCTAAATGATAAGTACGCACATTTTAGGCCCATAACACAGATTTAAGTCACTAGTGTGGGTTAAATTTAGCGATGTCTAGCTTTCTTGTTGTTGTTTTTCTTCATACTATTACTACTGCTTGTACTGGTAGCCGACATCTTGTGTTTCAGTGAATTAGGTGTCATGTCTCCCTTGTTCAAAATATTCATACTAGAGTCTTTGTCCTTAGGTGTACTGGGTCTGCTATCAAGCCCCACAGCTGACAACATTTTACTGTCACTTCCAAATGCTTTTTGTAGCATACCAGATGAGGAAGCAATCTTTTGAGTGAGATTTTGTTTAGTTTGAGAATGGTTGATAACTTTTTCAATACCACCATTGGTGTGCTGTTTCCCTGAAGGTTTAGATGCTATACTTTCAGTGGAACCATGTATTGTGGTGTGGTTCAAATTGCTAACATTAAGTCCAGAACTGATTTGTGTATCCGAAGAGTCTTCATTTGTCTGTGATTCAGTCTCACTGTTTCTTTCATCTAAAAAAATAATGTTTGTAAATTATACATGATCATTGACAATAAAAATCGACTAATTTTACCATTCTAACTTAGGACTTACTTTTAGCTTCAGCAGGATCAACAAGGCCACTAACTGCCTGAAATAAAATATTAGGATTGTTTATCAGTAATATGTAGAGATATAATATGAAACTAAATTAAATCACATAAATGAATACTTACAGCCATAGATGTAATACTGGATTTTGAAAACAATCTCTCTGCCTCTTTGAATTTTCTGTTTCTTTTGTCTGCCTTTGAGTTTGTGCTCTTATTGGTGGTCAAGTATCGGTCCCATCCTCTAATGATATTTCCATAAAGCTGAGTGTCTTCTAAATATGATCCTTCAAATGCATATATCTGGCGTTCCAAGTTAGCAAGGGTTTCCTAATACAGTAAAACAATATATCAGAATAATTAAAATATTACTTTTTATGTATATCACATAAAATAAATAAACAATCCCTAAATTGTTTACATGAAATATAATTAAACAATTAGTAATGGTGATAAACATAACAAAATACGACAGATCTAGGTATCAAGTTTATTGTAATTTATTCCACTTACAGCCACTTCGGCTTTTCTTTTCACCAATTCCGCCAACTCTGCTCTTGTATCAGCCACTGAGGACTGTTTGGACGCCATATTGTTTCTTTTTGTTTGCACAGTTTGGGAATCGTTGTCGGGGGTTTGTGGTGAAACAACCATGTCGTTAGTTGAATATATCGAACTTTAATAATCCATAATTTAATAACTATTTACGAGGTAGTAAGTTTCCTTTAAAGTAACACCAAATAAATGCTTTTAATTCAATCAATAAGCACAACGCGCTCGCGTCAAAGCAATAATAAATCCATAGAGAATAGAATTAAATGACAGTTTACAAACTTGATTTTTTTTTTTTTGGAGTTTATGGCCTGGATACGAGTCCTTTAAGCCATTTACAAACTTGAATGACGTTAAATAGTGCGTCCAATAATTATTTTTCATTGTGTCTTACAACAATAATCGACTAATGGTTATTGTTCTATTATATTAAAGTTTTGTATATCAGAATGTTATTTGAAACACATATCGTAACTTAAAACTAACAAAACTAACGGCTCATGTAAGTGTGCATGCCAACTTGCTATATGACACTGTACCTGTAGCAATAAAGAATTATGATTATGATTATGATTATACCATTTTTGAGTACTTAGCTTTTACTTTTTATTATTATTGTAATCATAACATTGCTAAGCATAGAGCTGCCCAAGGACTATAATATTAGTATGGCGGAAACTGAAACGATTTTTAAATATAGTTTTCTATAGTTTATGATATTTTATGATAAACCATATGGATGTGACATTGACAGTTTTTGACATTGAATGGTACGGCACGAAAACATTGAATGTGTGGGATGAGTTCAAACTTCAATATTTGCTGATAAAGAGATAAAAACAATTATAATATAAAACAAGATTTACTAAAATTAGAACCTTTCTGCCGTAGTCAAAAATCAGTAGATTTGAAATGTCTGTAAATTACATACCTCGAGTAACACAGGTAAAAATTTTACACCTAAGGATTTAGTTTTGTAAATAGCAACCTTGTTTTACTGCGTTCAGTGCATTAAAGTTATAGTAATTCTCTTTTAAAGAAGAATTCGAAAGTAAACTAAAATAATGTTTGTAACTTAGTACCTATTGAACTTTTAGTTGATGTTTTTACACAACAATTGGCGAGTCAGTCTCAATCTTAAGTATAATAATTAATCTTATTTTACTTAACAATTTTATTATTTTTACAGCTGGATGCTGTGCAGCTAGATAGTCAGTTGGAGGAACTTTTCAAACAGTTATTGTTTGAAGTTACTAAGTATATAGAGGTAAGATTAAGACAAGTGTCATACAGTTTTTAAACTAAAATCTTTATTTATGATTAACACATTGAATGTCAGTTTATAAGACACAATAAAAAAATACATTGTGTCTCGCAAAGATCCCCGTTTAAAACATACGAAAGGTTAAATATAAATAAGTTTTAGGATAAGTCTAAATACTTTTTAGCAATATATACTTAAGGCAAAATTCTTATTTTATTAATCAATATTGACATTTTATTCCTATAATATTTTCTTTTGCAGCCTCGTTACATTCAGCCAATTCTTCCAGAGCTTGAACTTTTAATAAGGTCATGGATTTTCAAGTATTCTGTTTATGACCATAAAAGTACATTTGGGCAACAAATGTTGTCATTAAATTACAAAACAGACTATTTTACAAGAAGTAAGCTTTTCTGGTATTTCGGTTACACTGTTGGCTTGAAATATTTAAGAGAGAGAGCCATTTACAGTTTCACTTCAAACACCAAAATCCAAAATATTATAAATAAATTAGAAACTTTCCAACTCATTGGAGACATATTGAACTTCTGTAGGTTCATACAGACTGGGAAATATCCACAACTCATAGATTACATATTAGGATTACAGTTATCTGCAAAGGCTTTGACTCGGGAAGATCTTACAGATTTATCTTGGACCAGAGAATTGCTATGGCACAATTTTATTGTAAGTTGTTATTTTATGCATAAACAAACTATTATGGCTTTAAAATAAAACACATATTTAATTTGTTATTTATGTTTCAGGAGTTGTTAGGTACTACAATATCATTAATTAATATTTTTGGTTTGAGGAGTAAATTGTCTGGTATGCTGAAGTATGTATGGTGGAGACAACATGTGAAGTCTTCAGGCACAATGACAATGCCCACAATGACTTTACAAACCGTGTGTGCATGCTGTGAGAGCCCACCAGTCCTACCACACATTATGGGCTGCAGTCACATTTTTTGTTACTACTGTATAGTGGTATGTAGAAAAATATAAATAATGAATCCTCATTTCACTGTATTTTGTTTGTCATGAATATTTTACATTTGTCCCTGTTTTTGAAATTGTACACTTACTGTGAAGCAGGAAATCATTTGCCATACCAAGTCCTATTAAAAATAAATCCAACAACTATGTGCAACTATTAACTCACTGTATACCTCAAGACTTAATTCAATAACAGTCAATATAACTGCCATTAAAACAATGAGGATGTGACATAGGTCACATACTCCGTGAGCAAGCGATGGCACCAACCTTACCAAATACACTTCTGAATTTATGATAATTTTGGGATGGATTATTTATTGAATAGCCAATACTATTATACTGTAGGTCCTAATTGTCGTGTAGGCTGATAACAACGTTTTTATTGCTTATGTTGTTACGGTTATATTATTTTTACGTAATTTTATTATTCCTTCATACTTGATATTACAGATAATATCGAATATTGGCAGATTTGATACCTTATATATCATAGCTCAACTTGCCAATTTTATTTTTAACCAGTAACTTTGTTTTTTTTTCAGGCTAATAAGACAGCTGACTCAGATTTTGCCTGTCCAAAGTGCTATTACAATGGGAAAGAGGTAATGAAGTTTGTAAAATCATAAATTTTAATAGACAATTTAAAATTTAGTTTTAAGGGAAGGTTGGTACTGTGATAAGCCATAATTTTATCGGTGGAAGCCAAATAATTGTTTCAATTAATTGGTTGTTGTTGTTGTTTTAATTTTAAAATCTTTGTCATTTGTATATTTTTATTTACAAATACAATATTTGATTGTAATAAACATTTTATATTTTTTTAATACATTTTTATTTTGATCCTTGAATCATGTTCTTTATTTCATTTACAGAATCAATTTATTGTCATAAATTTACCTTCTTTCAAAATTATCGTATCTTATTGTAAAATATGTTGCAACTGATATGAATCATTGTATAAAAGAAAAATAAGATGTATTTATAAAAAAAATGGAAAAGGAGAAAAGAATATAACATGCAATTTTAAAATAAGTATAAAATATTTATTAATAAATGACGATTTTTACGAGAAGTTAACTACTATGACTATATGAGAAGACAATAAAATACCAAGAATATAAGAACTACACCTACTTGCATCAATTGACATACTTTTGTACTACATTCGAAAATGTTTGAGATCCCTGCAGTAATGGTAAAGTTGTGTTTTGGAAAGGACAATGACGCGGAAATAAAGTGAATGGCGCTTTGCATTTCGACAGGCATTCTTCGAGCCTAAGTAATAACAGGAATGACTGTCTTCAATCTAAAACATTTTTTTTATACACAGTTCCTTGTTCAAAGGTAAGGTGGATGAAATGATAATCGATATTGTAAACGTAGTTTGCGTTGTTGTCTGTAATACGGTAGTTTGCAACTAGTCAAATTCAATACTTTTATCCAAATGAAAAAATTGCTGAAAAAATTGGTTATCTATGAAATTTGTATGAAAAACTGAGTTGTGACGTCATAACATTTTTGCGTCAAATAGCTTACTTATTTCATTTTTTAATAATTAGCTAAAAATAAAATCCAAATCTTAGTGTATCGATTGAGCGACGAATAAAAGTATAGTTATTTTTCAATATTTTATTGTATTTAAACGTCGAAATAATTTATTTTTGACCTAGAAAACTATACCCAATTGTTATTATTTAGAAATTTAATAGTTTCTTGTAGCTGTTGGAAAAATAAAATTTAATGGCACTTATGACATGATTTGAATGAAGGATACGCTAATATTTTTTTTATAATAATATTAGGTATATTATAATTAAGTAGTAGGTCAATCGTGTTTGATGTGACTAGGTAGGCTGTACCTAATTCTGAATTTCAAACAACCTCGGTCTGAAATATCCGAAAGGTCCGAAAAATACATACATAATTTAACGAGTATTCAGTAGTGGTACCCAATAATTAAACATAAATGATAATATTAACTTACCTACGAAACTAAAAAGCTTAGCAAATAGGTATTAGCTGAATTTCCCTTTGATTGACACAAATCACATTTTTTTGCTCAACATGCCTACTTGCCCTGACAAGGCTATCGGCTTCCGTCCTTATCCAATCTATATACGTTTTACTAATTTATTTACAATCATAAGTTACCTAGGACCTTTTAGGTCACTAATTTAGGCTATAACATGTGGTCAGACCGAATAAGGCATGTATTCGACTGGGTCGTGGTGCCTGTCCGAATTATATTCGTATTTTTAATGTTGATTGTCTTTGCTGTTGCGAACGTCGGCGTGGAAACCAGTCTCCCAGTCAGCAACGTAGTTCACCGTCCGCACCGAGCCGTCGGGCTCCACCAGCGAATACTGACCTGAATAAATAGAAATATTTATTAAGTTATGCGTTTCCGTCGCCCTTCGAGCCGCATTAATGAGCCTATGAATAGTGCTGCGATAATTGCATTTAGGATGTCATTTGCATTTTGCTGCCTTAAGCCATGTTCGCGGAAAGTGTGCAATGAGAAAAGGTTTTTTGGGTTAGAGTATTTAGACAATTATGTATAAGGAAGTGTCCGTCGATCGATCTTCTAGAATCTGGTGAACCTACCGAAGTGAAGTAGGCTGCATATTATGTGTACCTATTAGAGAGCTAGGAATCTTAGACACTTAAAAATATCTTTTATTATAAGTACAATGTGAAAGGAAAGTTTCCTTTACCCTTGACGACTTCTCCGTCTCTTTCTTCTTTTTGTTGCTTGATGTCACCAGTGTGGGGGTCATTGACACTGTATTCGAAAGCATACCGCGGGTGGGCGTCCTGCAAAAGGGTTATCACAATTTAGATGGTGCCGTGAGAAATGTCAGTTGCAACAAAGGTCGCACGAGTCTTGAATGAACTTTAGTGCCCATTAACTAGGTTATAATCTACAACACTGTTAGGGTTATAGGTAACGAAATTGCCTTAATTGGTGCAGTTACAGAAAGGTTGATAAGGTACAAGATCTTGAAGTTACCATAATTGGTCAGCTTTATTGGGCTAGATAGGTACAAAGGTTTGGTTGTTTTGCTTAGAGTAAGATAACGGGTCTTAGCAATAGGAACTTAGGTATAACACCAGTTGTTTGATAGCGTAAAAAGAGCTGTGCTAGTTAATGAAAGGAATAAGTATCAAAGACGTCTGTCATCCGGCATCTTCAATCAAGTTCGACAAGTTGAGGGTGGCAGGACAAGAAGGCAGTGAAAGTGGTCCAGATCGTATCGGACGAGTTAACACTAATTGTTATGTAAGTGAGTGTTACTGATTTAAGCCAGCTGACGCACACGTCCTCGGTTAAACAATAAAAAGTTTGGTAACATGCGTTAACATTTTTAAAACGGACTGAAGTCAACGACTTCGCCGAAAATCTGCCTTTAGTTTCCTACCAACATTCTGAGAACATTATTTTAAATGACGATCAAGCATTTAAATGGGAATAATGGTGTTCATAACCAATATGTTCTAAGGCAACAAAAGGTGCTTATTTGCGTGTAGTTTTGGTCCTTTCTGCGAAACAATTTCTGTAGGTGTGAAGCCAAAGCAGCAGTATTGTATGCAATATCGAATGGTCAGTTTACGTAATTGTATTGTGAATAAGTTACCAAGCTATTAAATCCGTAGTCCTTGTGTTTACTTAATCTATCGCGGACAATAAATTAAAGTTACCTTCACTTATTGTTAAGTTTGAGACCAAGACCTAATCAATCTGATCTGTCGTTCGATATCTAAGACATGCATAAACTAATCTTAGCGCTATCATTAAGAGGGCATCAGAATGTATTTGACATTTTCATTAGTGAGCATTGTAAGAACTTACAAGCTATTAAAAAAAACCGATCAGCAACATTGGTCAACCTTGACCTCAAACAAGTCACCATTAATTCTACTACACTAACATAAATGGACAAACTAATGACATAACTAAAATAAATGTTATGAATTCCAATCCGTAAAACAGACACCCATTTTCTTTGTAACGCTAACACGTTAATTAAAAGCTGAAGCAATTAGATGTCCACCTACTGGTAATCAATCAAATAAACTTAGTGGGTTTGTAGATCGTTGCACAACGTGTAAGTAAACATGAACGGGTGAACGCGTGACAATTTCTCACATTTGTGCAGAGTGAGTGAGCAAGTAATCGGTCAAGATTGCCGATGTGGTGGAACCAGTCCTGGATCTAACTCGACAGCCAATCAAACTGATTACGTCACTGCATTAGTTGTAGGGATATGAAGTAACTTATTCCATAGCATGCCGCAATGTCCTGAGGCACATTATTTACACATATAAACTTTATGTCAATACACAAGAAAAACGTAAAGAATTTACTTAGTCAACGGAAAGAAGGACTATAAACATCAAAATGGCTATTAAAGTGTAATTAAGTGTGTTAGATTGGTTTAGTAATGTTACTCGTGAATATTTTTTATTGATTTAATTTATTATTTAAGTTAAAATATTTGGTAATAGAAATATATTTTGGTTTCAATATTGCTGGGCACTTGTTGACTAGTTTAAGGCCATGTTAGCACTGACTGCGGATTGCTATTTACTTTATTCTAAAAAATATTTTGCACGACTCGTGATTGGCGCCAATTAAGAAGAACATTACGGATGTTTTACATTGTTAAGATTTCCGTTTGTTAGGTAGCTACTTTTCCCTACTTCAATGTATTGGTATAAATACTTAATTTTAATTAATTTTAATTGGCACAAAATGTCGTTCTATAATTATAAAAATATTCAAACATTTGAGTTTATTTTGGTATAAATGATAAAACGAACGGAGTTTTAATATGAAGCTATTCTGGTAGTTATTGTTCAATAATTAAAAATAGTACTTACATAGTTCTCTAAGAATTCAGTGTGAACATTCTTGACGGCGAGGGGTGCTGCTGCGACCTTGGCAACTGCAGGAGCGGCCACTGCAGTGTAGGCGGGCGAAGAGACGTGGGCCACACTCACGGGGGTACTCGAGTACTGACTCACTGATGTTGCTGCTGGCGTAGAGTAATGAGCCACTGCTGGCGCTGAGTACTGAGTCACAGCCGGTGCTGAGTACTGAGCCACAGCCGGCACTGAGTGCTGCACTACGGCTGGAGCCGAGTACTGCGCGACCACTGGCGCAGCGTACTGTACGTGTTGTGCCACTACCGGAGACGAGTACTGACTAACCACTGCACCGTGCTGGGCCGGGGTAAAGTAGCTTGAAGATGGAGCCGATGCGTGAGACACAGAAGAGCTTGAATATTGTGACACTGATGGCGCTGCGTAACTAACTGATGCCACTGGAGCCTGACTGTACTGGGCGTACTGTGCAACTGCAGGTGCTGCCACTGCTGTGTAGTGCCCTCCCACAATCTGCGACTGCTGCACTTTCAAGGCAGGCGATGTCGCGTACCCAGCAGAAGGAGCAGCGTAGACCTGGGACACCACTGGCCCTCCCGTTTGTATGTTGCTGTACGAGTTAAGAGACGCTTTTGCCAATGATCCAGTTGAATAAGCTTGTTGTGATACCAAGTTCTGTGTGTATGTAGTCTTAGCAGGAGATAACGAGAACTTTGCGATCAATGGAGCTGCTGTCACTTTAGCAATGATTGGGGCTTGAGCGTATGTTGCGAGTGGTGTCACAGTTTTTCCACTTGAAGCAGCTGATGAGAGTCCCGCAGAGGTTGCGTATCCGTGGACTTCCTTCGTGGTATATCCTTGAGCAGCGTAGTTGTTGTAGTTGGAAGCGAGCGATGAAGTCTGATAAGTGGCTGCTGGTTGTGCTGCATAAGTTATTTGTGGTGCTGCTGACTGGTATGTTATTCCAGTTGAATATCCTGAGCCCCCACCGCTGGAGTAGCTCGAGCTTCCACTAGAGGAGTAACCTGAACTTCCCGAGTACTGGTATGCAGGTGCAGATATAATGGGTTGAGAAATGATAGCTGGCGCAGGTGCGACAGCCTTGACGCCGGTCGTAGTCAACTGCACCGCGGGCGCAGCGTATGAATATCCATTGTCACAGTTTGACACTTTCTGAACCTGGCTTAAGTGGTAGTTTAGATCAGGATCATGATAAGCCAGGGCATTGTGCACCGCCAACACAATGAAGATCATCTGAAAAAGTACGTTTTAATTTATTACTTTCAACAATTTGTTTTGCATACATAAGTTTTTTAACAAATTATAAATATACAAAGCTTACTTACCGACTTCATCCTTTTGTTCTGTATATTTGGCACTCTATAAATAATATTGCATAAATAAATATTTTGGCAATATTCGCATTAAATTGTTGAAAGCTTAAAGTGTATTTGCCAAACTTAAGCGTAAATCGAAATGAGAGCAAAGTTGGTCCGCAAAGTCTTATATAGCGATCTCATATGTGTAAGAACGGGTCACACTTTTTCACGTTCGCCGTCACTGAGTACGTCGGTGGGCGCGGCGCATGCGCTGGTGGCTAAACCACGGGTCTATATACTAATGTATGACTACCACACGTTAGGAACACCATTATGTTAACATACTGGCTAGGTACTTCTATAAATATCACTTAATTAGGAACGAGAACACGTGAGAAACATTCTGAGTAGGCCGATTTATTATCTTTTTAATAAATAAATAAATAAAAGCTGTAAATAAAATTGAGTTATTTAATTAATTTCTTTAATTTTTTAGTTATAATGTTCCAATAAGGCTTGATTTTTTTGTTAGTCATTTATTTCTATTGTTTCGACGTACATCGGTCAGCGCATCCTACGCGAATAGTACTATGCACATGTACAGTCATGAACAAAAGTGGAATAGTTTTTTTACGTTAAGATGAAGAAAAATGTTTTCTAATATCTTCAGAATAAAGTTACGAATATGTTCAACGTAGTTGAGCCCAATAGTGTTCGACATAATATACATAATATCAGTTTTTAAGGAGGTGCACATATACTATTATGCAGCATCCACTTGTCACCAACAAAATATAATTGTTAATAATTATTGAGACTTGTTACGTAAACCAAAAATCGCAAAAATGAATACTTTGACTTTAAGCGTGATATTTAGTAGGGAGTGAGCCTGTTACCGTAAACGGCATTCCCAGCTCTAAGTGACGTGGAGTTTTGCTATAGATATATTATAGTCTGAATACTAATATTTGAATATGCCTTACTTCAATAGAAAAAGCTGAATACCGGCTAATTGGATAATTTTTGCAAATCGAAACAAAAAAGAAAAAATATCTAAAACATTAGCAAAAAAATTAAATAAGTCTATATGATTAATTTACTAACTAAGTTTCTGTTTGGCCTTAATCTCAAGCTAAATAATAAAGTTACTTCATGACGTGTCGTTTAGAGCAAATAAGAAGGTACCGCATGACACTTGAACATATAATTCATACGTAAGTTACGCAACTTATCCCGCAATTTGACGCTAATGCCGACGGATTTGTTTATACGAGTCATTGATATCTTAAGAGAATTAGGAACAAGTTCAACTAAGTATCGATACCTGAAAAGCATTGATTTATTTAATCGATATATGCTTCTGTTTTGTTTTGTCATTATTTTTAATTAAAGATTTTTCGAAGGAAGCATTTTTCATTTGAACCTATCCATAGAATTTTTTAATGTATTAATCATATGTTATTAACGCTGTGATTGTAGCAGCAGCTTTTTTTAAGCAACTGTGCAGTCTGATCGCCTGATGGTAAGCAAAGACTTTGATGGGCAGCGCTAATTACTTATGGACTGACGCTGATGGACACCAACAATATCGGAGAGCTACAAGTGCGTTACCGGTCTTTTAATGATTAGGGATTTGAAGAATTTTTGGGCATTGGGGATGGAAATAGGTAGACTGGGCCTCAGGTGACCTCTAACAATATGTTTCAGTTTCATATACCTATTTGACAAATTTATTTATGAATTTTGTTGAAAATTTATTGTTTCTGCCCGGCTGTATGAATGCCTTTAGAATTAGTACATAGGATTTCATCATTATTCACAGACATGTACATAAAATAGGGCTTCTAAATAACATTTGCTTCAGTTAATTTCTTCGTCAGAGTCTAGAGAAGCTTGTTGTACTCGAGTGCACCCGATTGTGTTCGATAACATGTTTATTAAATGAGCTCAGTGTGCAGACAGCTGATTGGAAAGATAACGTTTATCTAATATGTTTTCGTTTATTTAAAGTATTGCGAGTGAACGCTGTGATAAATGTTACCTACTCCTTTGAAGTAGTTTCATGTGATTTTTAAGGTTCCGTATGTAGTTAATGAACTTTCAGTGCATATGTGGACTAATGTTATAAAGCTAAATTGCATATGCAAATTAAAAATACGATATCTTTTTTATTGAAGTCACGTTCAAATTTTGAACTATCCACTTATATGAGTACTTCAAACATTAACCAATTTTAAGTTCTTTTAATAGCGAAAGAACTCTATTCCGCGAATAAGGTTCGACTGGTTTTTATAATTGATTGATGTTTTTCGCATTAGAGCGTGCATTTTGTTAGATGCTGCTGCTGTTAGCTGCGGAGAGTGAGAAAATGAATTTTGCATTTGAACTAATTGCGTCGTTCGTAAGTTCAGCAACATTTCCTCACATGTGCCAGTAATTTACGTCATTTAATACGTTGATACGGGTTGAGGCTTGCATAAGCAAACAAGCCCCTAAGCTCTTTACTTACAGCTCACATGCAAATGACGAAACTCGTGCCTAGTAGAAGGATTTCAAATAAAATCGTTTAGCGCCACACTCTAGCACTGCACACTTACTTTATTACCTACCTATTTACTCTACAGATATGGTTAGTGTCGTGTTGTATGTACAGTTTGTTTTACAGTCCATTTTAAAGTACTTTAGATTCGTTTACTTTAGTTTGTTTAGTACCTCTCTATACGTCCTTATAAAAGATATGTGGAAAATAGATCCACGCTGCTTATAATTATTTTTATGGAAACGGCAAGGTCCCTGTGAATGAATACATGTTAAACGGATATTGCTAAATGTTACGTTTAGCCAGAGAATTTGGTAATAGGGCGGAGTTAGGGCAGGTATTTTATTAAAATAAACCAATTACTAATGGTAATGCCACCTAAAACGTTACTGTCATGTATATTCAAAAGTTTGACTTTATTTGGTCATTGATATAGTCCATTTTCCAATGACAGGGTATACATATAAAAGATATTAAATAATTTTAATAGTCGTTAAATCATATTAAGTGTACCTTAAAAATTATGGTGTCCTTGAACCTAATTAATTTATGTTCATACAAACCTACTCGCATGAAAAGTACTAAACGAAACTAACATGTCATTTAAAAAAAATAAACATTTAATATATACTAATCTTTATCTACTTTGCAAACCTAAGAATTGATAGATGTATTATTAACCTATTTAAATCCTGGGGGTCTACTCTCTTTCTTCGAAACGAAACTTTCGGAAACGAACGAAACTCGAACGAAAGAACGTTGACGACCCTACTCTGTTTTATTTTCGGACACGCATACGAAGTTCGATCCAGAGATAATTTTCGTGAACGAATGTAATAGTGTAGGTTCTTTATAATGTGATTTGTGGTAAATTACGGTTTTTACTTAAAGTTAAAATTACAAATTCTCTGGCTGTTTCTTTAAATTCCACATTATATATGTGGTTTGTAAAACTATTACTTATAATATGCCACGCAGAAAATAAAAATATATTTATTTTTGACGGAATTGTAATTTATCGTGTAATTTATCATCTTTACTTTATAAAAAACCTTTTTCAGACATTTATAACCGACTAATTTAAAGAGTACTATTTTATGCCAAGAAAGGGTTGTTATGTATGACGACCAAAAATGGCTGTATTCGAACCGTGCACGACATGTGTCAAAAAATAAATGTCAACAGATTGTTTATTTTTATCATCAATGTACGAGTTAATAAAATATACTATAAAAGACAATAAATATATGTGGTGAAAGGAATTTTATTGAATTGTATAAAAAATGGATATTATTAAAAAAACAGGATTTGAGTGTTATAAACACACAATAATTTTCCAACCCCAGACTGTGCTAAAAGGTAAAATTGGTGTTAGAAGAACATGTGAGGGATGTGGAAGAACAAAGAACTAATGTGAATAATAATATGGCTGTGCGTTAATATTGACTGTGTAGTGGTGGAAGAAAATTGTGGGACAAAGCGAGTCGAAGCTAAATGTCCAATTATTTACATTTGAAAAGAAACCTGTCGTTGAATTTCATAAAAATGTATGCAATGTTAATTAAAACAATTTTTAAAAAAAATTAATAGAATTAAAACAAAGCCATTCATATTACACTCATGTTCAATTACAAATGTATGTAACTGGGATGGCAATGTGTGATATTTTTATTTTGAGCATTATTTGGTAAATAATGTTTTTTTATGTTAACTTAATATACTTGGATGTGTTACAGTAATGATATTGCTTTAAAGTTATATAAAATGCTAATAAGTTGTTTAAAATGATACTCCTTGTTATATGTGTTCTAATAGAAAATTGAAATTTAATTTAAAATGATACCTAATATTTTTTTTAATTTTTGTTTTATAAGTGCAGAACCATAGGAAATAAAACTCAGTATTTTTTTTAAAAGTGTTATTTTATTTACTTCCCCATTTTTACATATTTGTGCCGCGACGAGCGCAGCAATTGGTTTCTTTACCCCTTCCAACTAACTAACACGTTCCGAATAATCGGAGTACCTACATGCAAACATATCATAACAATAACATACAACTTATGAGTTTTTGTTTGAAAACTTTTCTAAAAGTTAGTTAGTTAGGTAGTTTCTCGTAGCTCCCAAAATAATAGGCGACTGTCCTACAAACTCTAAGTCGGGAATTTGACCTAGGTATATTAAGTAGATTGCCGGTTGTTCGCTCTACACGTTCTTCACGTAAAAGAGCTTCGATTTAAAGCATTCTTGTAGACATTTCAAACAATTTTTATACAAAATCCACACTAAACGATAATTAAAAGGTAACACTTTTGGTTTCGTCAATTTGAAGTTAAAAATCCGAAAAATCGTCTGTCAAATTCAAAAGATCGTTCGGAGCTAATAAGGATTAGAGTAGGTTCTGAATGTCAAAAAATTTTGTTCGAACGATATTTCGGAACGAATTGAAACCGTGGTAGGAAACACGCGAAGTTTCGATCGAAAGTTCGTTTTTCGTA